TCTCCATACCTACCCCACTCTAGGGGAAGGATACTGTAAAATCCCCATTCTCTCCCCACCCCACTTGCCTGCTTTCCTGCTCCGTTCTCCTGTGCAGGGCAACAAAAGAAGACCCAGCCAATCATCTGGGACTTGGGAGGCAGAGAATAGATGGGGGCGGGGCCAGGCAGAGGTGAAATTTTGAACTACTCAAAATTTCTGCTACCAGTTCTCCGAACTACTCAAAATTTCTGCTACTGGTTCTCCAGAACTGGTCAGATCCTGCTGAATACCACCTCTGCTCCCCTCCCCATTTCCCATAGCTTTACTGTACTTACTTTTTGAAGAGCTCCAGAAGAGGCTGGCCCACATGGGAGAGAAGCTAAAGTCTTTTATTCAAAAGCTTGTAAAACTGTAAGAATGTGAGATATAAGGAAAATAGCTTTCCCCATCTGAATAAAAGACTGGCTTCTCTGCCATGAGTGCCTGCAGGCTTAGTTTTGGCCCAGTCTGGCTGGCATTGAGCAACTTCCTGCTTGCTGCTAACTGGCTTGTTCGAGTAAACAGCTTCAGAGATTGGAGCATGGCAGCCAATCAACAAGGGGCTTGCAGTTCAGCCTGATGAGACAAAGGAAATAAGCTCCTTGTTGATTGGCTGATGCTACTGTCTCAATCCCTGAAGCTGTCCTGAAGCAGAAGGCTTTTTGTATTACCAGTGGCCTAAAGGCCACATGGCCCCAGCCGAAGTCTTTTACTTAGAAACTGGTGAAAATGTTTTCCTTAGATTTCACATTCTTACAGCTTCACCATCATCTAAATAAAACACTTTGGCTTCTCTGCCAGTGGGTAAGCCTCTTCTGGAGCTCTGGAGATCTTCAAAAAGTAAGTAATCCATGGGAAATGGGATAGGGAGGAATAAGTGGAATCCTGGAGTCCAGCAAAGCAGGCCCAGTCTGTGGAGACCCAGCATGGCAGGATGAGGGGAAGCAATTGTGGGGACCCCAGGGGAGCATGAGGTATCTCAGTGGATTGGGAGAGGCCTTGGATGGCCTGCTGCAGAACTAGGCCCCGCATGCTCTTCCCCACTCTGAGATACCTCATGTGCAATTAATGACCAGCGCCTTCGATTAACAAATGCATTGGGGAAAGCAAGGAGTGATCACGTTCATTTAATGTGATTCAGTCAAATGAATCCTCAGGTTACGAATATAATTGGCAGGCTCTGTTACATTAATAACTCAAGGATTACCTGTATAATGAGAGTGAGGGAAGGTCTCAGGGAAGTCCTGCCTTAACACTTGGCCACCACAAGTGCCTCCACACAACTCCTGTGCCCCCCACCATAGCCCTTTCCCCTGGGCATGCCCCACCCAGGCCCTCCAAGGTCAAACACAACCCTGATGTGGCCCTCAATGAAATAGAATTTGACATCCCTGGACTAAAGGTATTGACCAGTCATTGTTCCAGATCTCCACACAAGAAAATACTCCAAATTTCTGCATGGTTATAATATATTTAATATATGCACATGCTATCATTAAAGATCAGAGCCATTAGATTTCACTTTTAAATGAATGATAATTTCTTGTTACATCCTTGCTTAGTTAGTTTTAACTATAGTTAGTAAAGAAGATAGTATTATCTATCACAGATTGATCCAAGCTTGTTTATTTAGTTACATTAACAAGGCCTTCTCTGATCTTGGATGCCATGGGAAATTGACTATTTTGAAGTGGGAATGAATCTTTCTGATTGCTTTCTTATCAAATCAGAAAAAATGAAGGGAATTCATAAACATAGAGAGATAGCAGAACAAGTAGTTATCATCTAGGGACCAGAATTGGGACTTGCAATTCAGCTGTTAAGCAAAGCAATTGCTAAGTGAAACTATGATTTTGCTTATGATCTTATTTCCTTTGCTGTGAAAGTTGGGAGTGCAAGGATAAAATTATTTTTAATCACCATTGTAACTGAAAGGTTGCTAAACAAAGTCACTAAATAAGGAATACCTGTAAATCGTAGTTTTGCATTGCATTTCAGAACACTCAGTATACAGATTCATCAACATGATCACTCCAACACATCATCAAACTTCTGTAAAATAATGTAATATTAGTTTAGATGTAATGGATTAGATCCACAATTATTATACTTTGTCTATATGTTTTGGTACAGCTAGAAGAGAAACTGAAATAATATTCCCAAAAGGAGGAATTTATCCTGTGGTATAACTTAATTTAACCAAATTTAATTAATTTAATTTAATTCCACCCACCCACCCACCCACCCACCTATTACATCTATAATGACTGAGTATTGTGGCAACTTAGTTTTTGCTTGGAGCGTTGTGTTTACTAATAGCAATGGGAGATCTTGAAAATGAAGTCCAACATTTCAGAATAATTCACCTGGTCTATTTTATGAGTCCAGGCCATTTGTTAATGATATGGTATAATTTGTACATATATTTCTGTACCATAGAATAGAACTTGTTTAGTCTGAAGTTGAATTTGCTTCATACCAACCTGCTTAGACTCAAAGATTGCAATTTCTCTTGTCCACCCAACTCTTTTTTAAAAAATAAAATTTATTTAAGTTTCATATATTTAAAACATTTAAAAAGAAACAAACAAACATATAAACAAATCAAAACAATCAAGACAAAAAAAGCCACAAAACAGACAGAAGATATTAGAAACACCAATCAAGCAGAACACAGCAAACTCCAAGACCAATAAACACAGACCAAGACTCCCAACCAATCAGGATGAAGAAAAAACCATTCTGGCACAGCAGTAGGCTAGCCCCAAATTTAAAGCTGAAACGGCTGTGAAAGTCTGACTCACAGACGAACACAATACAGAAGCCTGATGATGGCAGATGAGATTCTGCCGAAACGTTGCTACAACTTTAAAAGCACAACTATAATGACGTGGGAAAATACCAAACAAAGCTGAATACCAAATATATATACATATATACATTTTGCAGCAGGTATTGAGCATTGGTTACATTTTTCTTTTCTTTTTTTCTTTTACCCCATAACATTGACATGATCTACCTTGTTACAATCCCTTCCTCGTTCTTTTAATGTTTTATTTTCACAGAATACTTTATGATTAAATACATGTCCCTCATAGTTTCATAACTTATTCAGTTGTTTTCTTTAATGATTCATACCAACAGTTCCAAACTTTGTAGTATTCACTGTCTTTGTTGTTTTTTAGTAATTTGGTTAGGCTGTCCATCTCTGCACACTTGTGAATTTTTTTAATGACCATCTCCTCTGAAGGGACAATAGACAGTTTCCAAATTTGAGCGTAGCTTATTCTGGCTGCTGTTATAATGTGCAAGATTAAATATTGGGGTTTTTTTTTTCTATTTTTGAGTCTATCATACTCAGCAAAAAGGTTTTGGGTTCAAGTTTTACATCTTGTTTAGTTATATTTAGAATCCAATTTTTGATATTTTCCCAAAACTTCTGGGCATATGGACCACATATGAAAGTATGTTCCCTGGATGCAGTTACACTTCCAGCAGTTTGGGGGGAGGTTCGGGAACATCTTAGCCACTCTTGCTCTTGTCCACCCAACTCTTATGTTCAAAGGACTTCGAATTTGGAGCTCTTGCATCCTGGAACTAACTGTTCACAACATGGGTTTCTCATTGATGTGGAACTAAATATTTTTCTGCGGTCAAAGGAATTTCACAGCTGTTATAAGCCTTACATCAACATGTCTGTTTTCTTTAATTGCAGGAATGCTTTATTCCATTTATAGCTATTAAGGAATTTGTTCTCATTTTCTAGGACATTTAGTGGAAACACTCATCCAGTTATTTTACACAAGTATATATGATTTAAACCTGGGAAATATTCAGGAATGTTAATTGCCGACAGTTATCCTCAATGAAATAGCATCAGGTTCTTGCACTGGAATTCATGGGATTTTGTTAAAATATTTCATAAATAGCCCAGGGTTTACAATTATAAAAGGCAACTGTTTTTTTGCATTGCAATGATGGAACATTAAGGGGAAAAATTTCCTTTTTTGAAAAATGCTAAAGAATGGCATTGTACAGTGTCTCAGGGTTGATCCATTCTTTAAAAAGTGCTTCTTCTTTATAAACTTTACATTTTACATTTTAAGATCTTTCTTAGCCTCATCATGTATTATGGTTAAATTACATTGCATTTTTATATTTTGATATTAGCAAAAAATCGGCATTTTCAGTAGATTTTCATTGAACTACATCTCACATTTTCCCCTTTCTTTGCATTATGTCCGATTCTCAGACACTATTTGAACATGTCCCTGCAATTTTCTTAGGGAGATTTTCAGAAATGGTTCTCCATTATCTCCTAGAGCTGAGAGAAAGTGACTAGCCAAAAGCTACCCAAGGCAAGTTGCTTTGTGCCCAAGATAGGATTAGAGCTCACGCTCTCTTGGTTTCTAGCTTGATGCCTTAGTTATTACACCAAATTGGCTCTCAAACTACTTGGTTTCTAGCTTGATGCCTTAATTATTACACCAAATTGGCTCTCAAACTACTTCCATATAGATTTTGTCTTAAGACTATGACAATAACCTTCAGCATAAAACTTTTTACTTCTCATTTTTTTGCTTGTAGTTGTCTTAGGAAGATATTCTTTTCTCACTGTTTGACAATATCTGAATTGGGCCAATAAAGTATTACACTAGGTTGAACATTTCTTCTGGTCAATTGCCCTTCTTTATGCAGTTTTAATATCCAGAGAGAAATGAAATAATTAGTAATTATTATACATAAAGCTGCATTCTATCAAATTAGATCTTTGGCTCATCTACCTTAGTATTTTCCATGGTGATGGACAACAATTTCTGGTATTGGAGAAAGCCCCCCACCCCCCGCCAGCATGGCCTGGAGATATTGGGACAGACCTCAGCCTTTTTTTTTTCCTGGAGCTGAGTGCCCTTTTAAAAAGAGATTTTATCTAAATCTTTTTTCTACTCTACTATTATTATTTTTCTGACTTCTTATAGACTATTTTTGAAAGAAATTGTCAGTCAGATGACTGTGCTGCTGACCTGAAACTCCAGTGTAAACTCTTCCTATCTAGGTAAGTAGCCCTTTTTCAATTAAAAATGGCTTGAATTGTGAGATATTGGGCTGGAAAAAGAAATTTCACAATTGTAAAGAAGATTTTAGATGTCTTGAGTGCAAACTAAGAGGTAGTCATGTCAGATCAAAAGTTACAGGTGAGTAAGCAAGAATGATCAGATACAAGAAATTCTTTAGAACTCTGGACAGATCCCAGCAAAGCTGTAAACTGTTCCAACATGAGTTGATTGATAATTGGATTCTTATTCCAACTCTTGTGGACTGCACTTCCTCCTAGCTAGAAGATCAAAATCCCCAAAGAGATCAATCTATTTGATAAAGAGATTTGTCAAGTAAGCCTTTTGGAAAGGATGATTCTTCCATATAATCTGGCTGAGGGGTCTGCAATTCCTAGCCCACCTGGTCATAGGATTTCAGGTTAAAATTCCTTAATTGACTTTGTAAAAGCCCAGTTGTGGAAGTTGCACAAACCCTCAAAGAACATGGTGGGATTGGGTTATGGAAAAAGTGCTAATATTGATGTGTATTTCATTCTTATGTTTTTGTTTTGTTTTATTCAGGAAGTCTGAATAACATTTATAATTTTGGCCCTGTTGAATTGGATCTGCTTGATTTTATTCTGTACTGCAGCCTTTCCCAATCTGGTCATCTCAAGATGTATTGAATTGCAGTTTCCTTTATATTCTATCATAGGTGTTTGGCTGTGGGTTAGTCAGAAGGCCTCCAGATTTGGGAGAAGCCATTTAATTCCAAGCAATACCTGCTTCTCCAAACAAGCAAATGATTGAAGGTTTTTTTTCCAACATATTAGGGAACAGAAGGTAGCAGAGGTTCATTTTCCCATGAAAGTCCCCACATAAATTACCTGTCCGGGGATTTCAGGTCAGGAATTATAAGGAGAAAATTGCAACAGAATTAATTTTTTGATTTTAGCAGGCAGAGACTCAAATCATAGACAGTTAAAAATTCATCATAATTTTAGCCATTGTCTGTCCATTGCAGAATGAAGTCTTCTTCTGCATGTTTCAACTGATATGGTCTTGAGCTTTCTTTTTCCAATTGGGCCTGCAATACTTGCTGATGTTGTAGATTCATCTTGTTTCAGGGCTCTTTGTGGACACTTTTTATCAAATGAGATACATCTTGTGATTGCCTTGGTCCATCTGCCATCAGTTCTTCTAGCTATGTGACCAACCCATTTTCATTTCAATTCTTTTATTCTTTTGATGATATTGTAAACTTTCATTTGTTCTCTAATCCATGTGTAGATCTTTCTATCTTGTCTTGTAATGCTGAGCATGTATCTTTCCATGGCTTTTTGCACCACTCATAGCTTTTGTATTGATTGTGAAGTTAGTCCCTTTATGTACTATATAATAGCAAAGCACAATAATCGTTTCCTTGAATTAATAAAACTGTTATGAGTACAAAACTCTGAAGAAAACTATGAAGATGGGAGAAGCCATCTATTGAGATAAAAAAATATTATAATGGCCATGTTGACCATAAAGGAAGTTTCTAAGGTCACATTCAGTAGTGGGATTCAATTTTTTACTACCGGTTCTGTGAGTGTGGCTTGGTGGGCGTGGCAGGGGAAGGATACTGTAAAATCTTCAATCAAAGGTGGTATTTGCCAGTTCTCCGAACTAATCAAAATTTCCGCTACTGGTTCTTCAGAACTGGTCAGAACCTGCTGAATACCACTCTGGTCACATTCCCTCTTTTTTGATAAGTGGCTTTGCTCTGAGATGAAATGCTCTACCAGATTTATCTAGTTGAAAAAAAAACAGTCTGGTGCTGCTCTTTGTATGAACTCCTTAAATGTGTCATTCAGATATGATGTTAAGAGAATGGTTGATGTGAATGGCTGATGTATAAGACTATGTTTACTTTGTACTAGAACTGATCTATCTAAGGAGTCCAGATTTTCTTCTATCAGCATTTAGTGAGTCATTTGGGATATTTAGAATAAATTTATTTATTTATTTATTTATTTAATATTGTTGCCTATTCACCCATGGCGACTCAAGGCGACTTACAGAATGTAATTAATAAAGTACAATAGAACAAAATCTGGGAAAAGATAAATAAAAAATCACCCCCAACTCCCAGCCCCCTGATGATAGCAGATCACATGAGCCATTTGATGGGCTCTGTCCTGCTCTGCGTTCCCCAGGCCCGCTGTCAGAACAGATCTTCAGTGCCTTCCGGAAGAGTATTAGAGAGGGGGCCATTCTAATCTCTGGGGGAATGATGTTCCAGAGGGAGGGAGCCACCATGGAGAAGATCCTTCTTCTGGGTCCCACCAGGTTATCTCCCTCAGGGATGGACCTGCAGCATTCCCTGCCTCCCCGCTCTAATGGGTCGGGTAGATGTGACTGGAAAGAGATGTTCCCTCATATAAATTGGTCCCAAGCCATGAAGGGCTTTAAAGTGACAACCAGCACCTTGAATTGCACCCAGATGCAAATTGGCAACCAATGCAGCTCCCAGGGTCTGCACAAAACCATGCGGGCCACTGCATTTTGCACCAACTGGAGCTTCCGGATATTTTTCAAGGGCAGCCCCATCTAGAGCGTATTGTAATAATCAAGACGGGAAGTGACTAGGGCATGAGTGACTGTGAGTAGGGACCGTTGGTGTAACTGGTATCATCAGCATATTGGCTATACCTCAGTCCATGGAAAGGGTGTAACTGGTGCACAACCCATAGTTGCACAAAGGCCCTCCTGGCCGTGAACACCACCTGCTCTTCAAGCAGGAGTCATTAGTCCAGGAAAACCCCTAGATTATGCACAGGGTCTTTAGTGCCAACTTATCCAAGACCAAAGGTGGCAAATCTCCCTGAATCAATGAATCCCAAACCCAGAGCCACTCAGTCTTGCAAGGGCTTAGTTTCAACCCGTTGCTCCCCATCCAGCCCCAAACAGCCTCCAGGCATTGTGAGAGGCAGGACACAGCAACTCATCATGGGCCAAGACATACAGATGAGTATCATTAGCATATTGGCTATACCTCAGTCCATGGTGATGGATGATTTCACCCAGCGCTTCATATAAATGTTGAACAGGAGTGGAGAGTGTACCAAGCTCTGAAGAACCCTGTAAAGCAGCGGGCAAGGGCTGGATCTCTCCCCTCCTATCAAAACTGACTGAGAGCAGCCGCAGAGGAAGGAAGTGAACCAGGACAGCACAAAGCCTCCCACTCCCATCCCCCGAAGCTGCCTCAGGAGAATCCCGTGATCAATGGTATCGAAAGCCACTGAGAGGTCAAGTAGAGCAAGGATAACTCCTCCCTCTTCCAGCACCTTAAAGCCACAGGGCATGAAATTAATTTCAAAGGAACGAAAATTAATATCCAACACTGAACACTCCAGCAAGAAAATAATCAGGGAAGCCATCGAAATAGAGAAACACCCCATAACATGAATAAACAGGATGATACATCCTGCCTACCAGACATCTGGAAACTAGCCCTCGCCAATAAATGAGTCCCAGCCACGAAAACCAACACCAGACCCAAAACAACATAGGACACCACCGCCAATCCCCCTTACCAGACCCAGGCCCAAACCCACCCTATAAACAAAGGACAACCACCATCCAGAAACCAGACCACGGCTGCCTCAGCAGCTATCGCACCCCTCGACCCCAAAACCAAACAAACTGACACATGCCAAGAACACAGACCCAGACCCCAAACTCGAAGCCAAACCAAAACCCAGACTGCTACATCACAGCCACCTGCTCAGGATATCACATCAGAAAACTCAGGAAATTACACCACAAGAACTCAAGAAGTTGCAACAAAGCAAATGACCCAGGAAATCACAGCACAAGACCAAGGATACCACAGCAATAAACTCACAAGGTCATCACACAAGCTATTACCGAAACCGTTACAACACAGGAGGCTAATGGAAAAGAGATCAAAACACGACCCAGGAGATCACAACGCAGGACCCAGGACACTACAACAAAAGAACTTGCAAGCCCATCACAGAACCCATTACCCAAGCCGTTAAAACATGAGAGGCTAATGGAAAAAAGATCACTACAAAACAAATGACCCAGGAGATTACAGCACAAGATCCAGGATATCTCCACAACAAAACTCACAAGGCCATCACACAGCCCATTATACCAACATCAACTCCATCAACCAATCAAGAGGCAGCAGCGCAGCCAACCAGCCCAGCACACCAGCCCCCCCCCCCAGTATTTATAGAGAGACGGCAGCTCCGATCACACACTGCTTACACTGACACGAAGTCAAAAGCACCAGCCTGAGGATGGCGAGTGGGACCTCGCCGAAATGTCGCCAAGATACTCTTAATCTTACATGGGAAAAGACCTGAACACACCTAGACCTATATGTATATATGTATGTATGTGTATATATATATGTGTTTTCTTAAGTTTTCGTGGGTACTTACATGTATGGTATTCAGCTTTGTTTGGGTATTTTCCCATGTCATTATAGTTGTGCTTTTAAAGTTGTAGCAACATTTCGGCAGAATCTCATCTGCCATCATCAGGCTTCTGTATTGTGTTCGTCTGTGAGTCAGACTTTCACAGCCGTTTCAGTTTTAAATTTGGGGCTAGCCTACTGCTGTGCCAGAATGGTTTTTTCTTCATCCTGATTGGTTGGGAGCCTTGGTCTGTGTTTATTGGTCTTGGAGTTTGCTGTGTTCTGCTTGATTGGTGTTTCTAATAACTTCTGTCTGTTTTGTGGCTTTTTTTGTCTTGATTGGCTGGCAATATTGTGTTCCTGTATTGAAGGCTTTTATTGAGGCTTGGCTCACAGACGAACACAATACAGAAGCCTGATGATGGCAGATGAGATTCTGACGAAACCTGAACAAAACTGAATACCATACATGTAAGTACCCGCGAAAACTTAAGAAAACACACACGTGCGCGCGCGCACACACACACACACACACACACACAATTTTCTGAGGTACTCGCGGGTATTTGTATGTGGATCTTTGGTTAT